ATGTTAAAAATTAGTTTGGATGCAAAAGAAAAGGCTAAGGCAATGAAGAAGCTTCATGAATCCATTAGAGTGCAAATAGAAAAGTCCAATGAAGCCTACAAGAAAAAGGCCAACAAGAATAGAAAACCAACCCATTTCCAACTGGGTGATTTGTTTGGGTCCATTTAAGAAAAGAGAGGTTTTTGTCAAAGAGGAAGAGCAAACTTGCACCTAGGGCTGATGGTTCTTTTGAAGTCCTTAAAAAGATTAGGGACAATGCATACATGATCAATCTACCAAGTGAGTTTGGTGGAGTATCGACTACATTCAACATTGAGGACTTGTTGCCAGATTTTTAGGATCATCACCTTGCGGATTTGAGGGCAAATCCTTTCTAACTTAGGGAGGATGTTACAAATTGGGCCCATTACACTTGTTAAAAGTGTTTGTGAAAGTTCGGCCCAAGAGGTTAAAACCCTTGGTGAGAGTTCTGCCCAAGGGAGTAAGTTAGTAGAAGGTGGATTCAAATGGCCCAAGGTAAATCCATTCCAACACTTGAGCCCAATTCCTTTATTTGATTATTCCCACCAAAAATGACTAAGGCATCCAAGAATATTCCAAGGATTAGTCAAAGAACCATGTGGGGAGCATAGAATACAAGGGAACAAGGAAACACATGGGCAGCTACACTCCATACGTGTTTGTGCAAAAACAAGGGTGGAAGACTTGGTGGCTCCTTGTCCCTTTCCCGAAATGGAAAGTCACATGCTTTTGAAAACTCCTAGGAAATTGTTTAAGGATTATTTATGTTTATTGCTTTTGCTTATTTCCATGTAACATTTGAATTAGTTTGAACTAACATCTCTCTTGACAGCCACATGTAAGGTCTTGATTGATTATTTCTTTATTTTTGTGCCACATGGACGACTTAGATTGAATGTGTATTAGGGCCAATTATTATAAGAGGCCGAATTTTCCCTTTCTGTTTTAGACTTTTGAATGAAAATTTTAGCTCTTGTGAGAGTGTTTATGAATTCTTTATCCAATCTTAGCTAAGGGTTGGTGGTGGATTTCCCTTGGCTGGTGGTTAGTCCTTTAGACCTTGGGTTATTTTTAGCTCATTTGTTTGTTAAGTTTTTTTGTAGAGTTATTTGTTTGTTTGCTTGTTTGGCTGAATTTGCAGGGGAGTGTGTTGACTTGGCCGATTGTTCTTGTTGTGTTCTTGCGTGTTTGAAGATTGGTTGTTAATAACTCACTCTAAATTGGTGCAAACGGTTCACATGTGTATAACCATTTTCCTTTCACATTAGCCTATCTCAGTCTTTGGTTCTCTGTTGGGAAGATGAAAGAAATGAAAATGGGTCTCTCTGCTTGTCAAGAAAATATATCAACCTATAAATGTTATAGTGTTACTGACAAATTAGGACATATTAATTTTTAATTGGTCCTCAAAACTCACAGACGTCATGGAATCCTGTTATCTGATACAAAATCTTGAATAAAAAGACCCATATTCCCCTAAAATAAAACTAAAATTTTAGAAGCCACCATTACAGTCCACAATTTTATATAAGTAAAGGTAAGGAAGCTGTGGAGATCTGTTGTGATTCTGCTCTTCATTCGCTTGAGAGGCCTACGATTGACAACAATGTCGGTGTAGGCTGCGCGTGAGATTGACTTGGGGTAATGGATGTTATAGATTAGAGACAGGTTGAGCATTAGATAAGAGATTGAAGAATTTTTAGTAGGAAACAGGATCGAATGTTTTTCCGTGGGTTTTTCATCCATCACAGCCACGTGGCAACTTTTAATGGTAGCAATTTCCCATGTGCCTCTGCTTTACTTTAAAGATTCATTTATCTCTAAAATGTCTCATTTACCTATTTTCTGTTAATTTCAGCCTAACGTCTGTTAGTTTGGAGGGTGATTTTAGAAGTAAAAAATTAAACTGTCCTTGAGTAAACTCAAACCATAGGGACGGAAATGTATTTAACCCACCTAAAAACACACAAAGTATATGCGACTACTGTGGTAGTACCATATGGGTGCTAACTAGGATTTCTTCAAAAGACAAAGATGCTATATCCATTGTTATAAAATTTAGAAAAAAAAAATAAAAAATAGATGAGGTATTTCCTTGGTCTTGAAGTCTTGGAAAATTCTGATAGTGTTTTTATCAGTCAAAAGAAATATGCATTGGAGGTGTTGTAGCGGTTTGGAATGGATAAAAGCAATTCTGTTCATAATCCTATTGTCCCTCACTTTAAGCTTGTGAAGGATAAGGTGGAGTTAAGGTGGACAAGACTTACTATAAACAGGTTGTAGGTAGTCTCGTGTATCTCACCACTACAAGATCGGACATGATGTTTGTGGTGAGTCTTATAAGTAGGTATATGGAGAATCCTACTAAGCTTCATTTACAAGTGGCAAAAAGGGTGTTGAGATATTTGAAGGAAACAATTGGTTTTGGAATTTTTTATAAGAAGGGAAGAAATGAGGAACTTCTTGTTTACACCGATAGTGATTATGCTGGAGATTTAGAAGATAGAAAGAGCACTTCAGGTTATGTATTTTTATTGAGTTCAGGAGCAGTATACTGGTCATAAAGAAAGCAACCAGTAGTAAGTTTGTCTACCACAGTTGGCTGATGTGATGACTAAACCACTCAAGTTGGAAGCTTTTTTGAAGCTGCGAGGGTTATTGGGAGTTTGCTCTGAGATTGATATAAGCTGAGTGCTTGTAGCATTCATTTTAAGGGATGAATTGTTATGTTCTATTTTGGTAGTTTGTTATCACTCAGTCAGTAAGTTCCTATAGTCAAGGGTTGTAGGTTTGTTTGATTTAGTCTTACCACATTATTAGGAGTTGTTAGACATGGGCTGTTATTTCTCATTTCAGTTTGTTCTGTAAGGCTATATAATAGCCAAGTTTGTTCTTCAATAAGATAAGAGTTTTCTCTCAATTTCTATATCCTTTTGTAACTTTTTCTGGTTCCTAACATCTGGTATCGGAGACACATGACAGGGCCTGGTTAAAATTAGAAGCAGCAGTCTTCTACGTGTGTAGCAATCATAGTATGATGACAGAGAGTTCATTTGTTCAGCCAACAGTTCCGAAATTTGATGGGCACTACTATCATTGGGCAATGCTCATGGAAAACTTCTTGCGATCAAAGTAGTACTGGGGCTTGGTGAAGAATGGGATTCTTGCAGCAAAAGAAGTTGTTGTTCTCACAGATGCCCAGAGGAAGAACATTGAAGATCATAAGTTGAAAGATCTGAAAACAAAGAACTATCTATTTCAAGCACTAGATCGTTCGATCCTAGAGACGATCCTCAACAAAGATACAACGAAGAACATATGGGATTCTTTGAAGCAGAAATATCAAGGTACAACACAAGTTAAGCGTGCAGACTTGCAAGCTCTCCGGAAGGAGTTTGAAATTCTCACATGAAGGTAGGTGAGTCTGTGAATGAGTATTTTGCTCGGACTCTTACCATAGCTAACAAGATGAAAGCAAATGGTGAGGCTAAGGGAGATGTTGCAATCGTTGAAAAGATTTTGAGATCCATGACTCCCAAGTTTGCCTATGTTGTGTTCCATTGAAGAGTCTAAGGATACAGACACCTTAACCATTGATGAGTTGCAAAACAGCCTGCTTGTGCATGAACAACGCATGAGTTCTCATGTTGAAGAAGAACACGCTTTGAAGATTACTCATGAAGATCAATCTAGAGGAAGAGGTTGCGGCCGTGGCAATTTTAGAGGAAGAGGAATGGGAAGAGGCAGAGAAAGCTTCGGCAAGGTCAAGGTGGAGTGTTATAATTGTCACAAGCTAGGACATTTTCAATGGGAATGTCCAAGCAAGGAGAAAGAGGCAAGAGTGTCGGTGCATGGGTGAGAACCTCACCACAAGAGTGAGCGAGTAATATGATGTTGTTCTTGTATTATATACTAAGAGGAGAAGTTTGATACTTTCACAACTAGAGGATAGTATATATGTGAATTCAAATCTACATAGGAGTGTGTAAATCTTATATCAAGAGAGGCTTAGAAACATAATTATACACCCAAGGGTTTGAGAAACATTTATAGAGGGAGTTGAGTGAAACTAGAGAAAATAGACTTTACAGAAATGTATTGTAGAACCGAGTTGAGAGTAAGACCAAAGGGTTTAGAATTTTGGTTACTGGGTTAGAATAAAAGCAACAGAACTTAGTATTTTTTCTTAGTGATTTATTTTTGTGGAGATAGAACTTTCACGTAGATTTAGTATGTATTTGTGTTCTTATTTTCTTTCTTTTATTGTCTCAATATCTACTTCTAGAGGTAAATACTGGACGAATAATACTATACATACATCATTCCCATACAACATTTTTCATACAACATTATGTGGCAAGATGTGATTGGATGAAAGTTTAATTTTAACTTTCAATTAACCAATCATATCTTGCCACATAATGTTGTATGGAAAATGTTGTATGAAAATGATGTATGTGTAGTATTACTCATACTGGACATCCTGGTATTAGACATTTATACGCAAGGTGAAGCAGGAGTCTGTACATATCACCATATATAAGATTTCCTTTGTCTTAATGCGTGTTCGATTCGAACTGAAGACAAACATATACGTGCCCTCAAAGAAAAAGGTAATTCCACCAAATAAGAATTAGATCTGAACTCTAATTATGCTATTAAAATGATAAGTTTACTACTAGATGGATGATTTTAAAAATTAAATCTTATGGTTTAGATTAAACAGTCAGTAAAATTTGTGGGGAAATTACTATCTTTCGAATGATTTTATTTAGTAATACAAGACGTTATATATATTGTGATCCTAATTAGAGAAAAGCGCATTGAAGACTTACAAGTCCGAGTGACTGTCTATATATATATGGCATGTGATTTCGGCTTATCATATTATACTCCGTTTCCTCCTCAACACCTCCCTTCCTCTTTCTTAGGTAGCCTCGTCTTGGTCTTTCCAGAGAACTTTGCTTGTCTGACCTTTCATGGCTCTAAAGGAAGACAAACAAGTCATTCATCATCATGTGCTAATGGTGGCATTCGCAGCTCAAGGTCACATTAATCCATTGCTTAGACTTGGCAAACGCGTTGTCTCCAAAGGCCTCCATGTCACACTTGCCTGCACCGAAACCACCCAACAACGCATGCTAAAACAATTCACCACCACCACCACTGACGAGAACAACAACAACAACGTCAGCAAAGGCACCGCAAGCCATTCTATTTCTGATATCCAACTTCTGTTTTTCTCTGATGGGTTCGACTTAGACTATGACCGCAAAGCCAATTTAGACCACTACTTTGAAACTCTAGAAAAAGTCGGACCCGTTAACCTCTCAAACCTTATCAAAGAACACTACTATAATAACCATAAGAAACTCTCTTGCATCATCATCAATCCGTTTGTTCCATGGGCGGCTGATGTTGCTGTTAAGCATAAAGTCCCTTGTGCCTTGCTCTGGATCCAACCATGTTCACTCTTTGCTATTTATTATCGTTTTTTCAATAAACTAAACTCGTTTCCCACCTTAGAGAACCCTGACTTAAGTGTTGAGTTACCAGGATTACCACTGTTGTCCACAGAAGATCTGCCTTAATTTGTTCTTCCTTCAAATCCGTTCAGTAGCCTCCTTAAAATATTATATGACTAGTTCCAAAACATGAAGAAGCACAACTGGGTATTAGCCAATTCATTCTTTGAGTTAGAGAAAGAAGTCATTGACTCCATGTCTGAGCTTTGTCCAATCCGACCCGTTGGTCCTCTGGTCCCCACTTCGCTACTCGGTGAAGATGAAAAATTCGATGTTGGTGTTGAACTCTGGACACCGGAAAATGCTTGCTTAGAATGGCTAAACAAACAGGCAGTTTCTTCAGTTATTTACGTATCATTCGGTAGCATCATCGTCTTTTCAGCAAAACAAATGGAGGTCATAGCAACAGCTCTAAAGAATAGTAACCATCCGTTCTTATGGGTTGCCATGCAACCAGAAGTTCCAACACCTAACGGTTCAGGAGAATTACCAGATGGGTTCGTCGAAGAAACGAAAGACCAAGGCTTTATTTCATCTTGGTGTCCCCAAACCAAAGTTTTGGCCCATCCGGCTATTGCATGTTTCATAACTCATTGCGGGTGGAATTCTATGTCAGAAACAATAGTTGCAGGTGTGCCAGTGATCGCATATCCTCAATGGACCGACCAGCCAACGAATGCAAAGCTTGCAACTGATGTTTTTAAGATTGGTCTAAGGATGAGGCCAAACAGTGACGGTATTGTTAGTACTGAGGAAGTGGGAAAATGTATTAAGGAAATCATTAGTGGACCCAAATCAGAAGAGTACAAGAAGAACTTAACGGAATTGAAGGTTGCAGCAAGGAAGGCAGTGGCCGGCGGGGGCTCGTCGGACATGAATATTCAGTGGTTGGTTGATGAGATTAGTAATGGGAATTCTTGTGAAAGTGAAGGTTTACTTAATGACAGACAGCGAGAGGAAGAAGATAAGGTTAGAACTTAAGGGTCTATTAATTATAGTTGTTTTGGTTCACATAATGGGAAAGAGCCCCATCATTGTGAAAATTCAACGCATGTATTATTGAAAAGTTAGAATAATTAAGAGAATGCAGCTATTATGTGAATTGTCTCTTGCTGAGAAAATTGTGATCACAAATGAATGACAAGAGTGTCCATCTCTTATGGCGTAGACATATTGAATCACATAAAAATAAAATTACAATAAAAAGAAAATTGAGAATGTTGCATGACCACACGTTTATAAGATTAATTCGCGAAATGCCCATGTGTGGATAAAAGAAAGGTCAGATTCATGTGAAGAGTTATGAATGTAAGCAAATGATGACATGACTGCACGCATAAAGCCCTTGCGAGTTGCGACAGACCTGCAAATGTGGTTAATAATTTAACAGGAGCTGGTCTTTTGCTTTTGTATACCCATCTGTATTCGCTTTGTATCTAACCCACCAAAGAAGCAAAATTCTCTGGTTTTTCTTAATCCAAGTAAGAAATCTCAGGCATAATCAGCTTGCCTTTATCGCTCTGATAAACGATTTACATATTGCATTCGTTCAATTTTCCATCTCTTCAAAATAATTTCAACCATTATTATATTATTTCCATTGTTCCGTTCAATTTTTCATCTCTTCAAAATAGTTTCAACCATGACAACATAATTACAAACAAAAAATTTCAAAACACACTTCTAGAAAATAAAAATGAAGGGTTTAGGGAATTGAGAAAAATAGTTTTGTGATATATGGAGTGTAACAAATGAATAAATGTCCTATTTGGTAATTATTAGTTTAAAAATATATATTTTATAAAAAAAATTGTTGTAAAATGTCACACACAAACCTACTAAATCTAACAGGTCAAGCAACCACAAAAAGAATCAACACCACAATTTTACCGTGGTTCACCTTTCCAAGAATGAGAAGGTTACATCCACGTTAAGCTCGAGAAACAGGAGAAGCTCACTGCACTATTAAGAACTAGTTTACAGATTACAGACTTCGAATCAAACAATCCAAGAAAAAAACCCCAAAATCAACCAATCTTGTAACAAACAACCTAGAGAAACAACACTAAGATTCCCTAGCCTTTTGAGAGACAATAACCCCCTCACAGAATGACTAACACAATCACTCAAACCAGTTACAATGATTTCGATTTCAGAACTGAACGAAAAACCCTAAGAGAGCAATTCCCTTTACATAGTATCAATCTATCAAACCCTTGAACGAAGACTGAAGACTCATCTGCTTAAATACCGTTGACCAGACTTGGACTAATTGCAGTTGTTAGATCTCAAGATAACTGATAGTCCATATTGATTTTTCTATTATCCTGAAACGACAGCTAGACCTGGCAAAACGGGCGGGTGGTTTGGGTACGGGCCTGGGTCTTACGGGTACGGGTCTAAAACGGGTCGATTTAAACGGGCCCAATATTTTAGACCCACACCCTACCCTATGGGGGTATGGGTGGACCCGCAGGTGCTCATACTATTCACACAAGTTTTAGATTTTTGTAGTTACACCCCAAATCTTCCTAAAATATAAACCCACGTTTTCTCCCAAGTTTTCTCACCAACCAAACAGAAACCCAAAACCTAACTTTATCGATTCTCCTTTCATTCCTTATCAACCAAATAAACCCACATAAAAAAAAAAATCTGAAAAACGAAAAAATCTACATAAGAAAAAGCAACAAAAGAAAAGAGAAAAGAACTTTGTCGATTGTCCTTGATGCACCGACAGTGTAGAGTACAAACGTGGCTAATGACTGATGAGAAACGAAGACAGGAGAAGCGACGACGATGGAGTTACGGATTTCGGTGACAATGAGTTTGAGAGGAGGTTGATGAGAGACAGAGAGAGTGAGTTTGAGTTAGGGCTTTTGCGATTTGGGGCAAAAACATGGGGATAGGATCACTTTAAGAATGGTCTTAAAATTCTCTGAATCTTTGGCTGAAGTTGTAACTGAAGGAGAAGCAATAAGAAGCTTCCACAAGCTTTCTTGAAAGTTGGCGGCCTCGATGGAGCTTCCATTAACAACGATAAGTCTGTATTTGGTAGCGAATCAAAATCAAATTTTTATTTAATTTGATCAAAACTACGAAATAAGTTTTTGATATTTAATGGATGATCCCTCGTCTTTTGTTTGTAGCTTTCTTTTTCATCAATTCACCACCCATTTGGATTCCTCTTATCATCTTCTTCCTCAACTTTCCCACTTTCTTTTTCATCAGTTCACCACCCATTTGGATTCCTCAATTTTTAATTTCAGGGAATCCCTGCAAAATGAAAAGGGGAAAGGTGTTTATTTTTTAAAAAACAAATGGGCATCCGCGGGCACCCGCGTGTGTACCCGTTTGACCCCTTGGCAAAACGGGTTGGGCCGGGTATGGGTAGAAGAAAAACGGGTCCAATATTAAAGACCCACACCCTACATTTTTTACCCAGGTTTGGGGTCGACCCGTGGGTCCAGACCCATTTTGCCAGGTCTAATGACAGCGTATTACTTAGTTAAGTAATACGGCATCGTTTCAGTCTTCACACTTACAAAAATTATTACTAGGGCTTAGAAAGAAAGTTGATGGGGCTTAAATAACCCCACTCCTTGATTAACTTTATTTAAGCTCCTCTAGATCCCTTTGTAAATCCATTTATCTATTTTTTTTTTTAATTATAAATAGAATTCGTATTAAATTTACCGAAAACTTCTAACCTTTAATGTTGAATATCAATGATATTTTAGATTTTAATTCAATCAAATCTTAATTCTCATTATTACAAACCAGATTAATTTTTACTTTTTTTTTTTTTTAATGTTTTAAAGGAATTATAATCATTTTTTTTTTTTTTTTTGTCCTTTTCGTTACCTCTTTCAAATATTATCTCCGTACCGATTTCAAATACCATGTCTTCGTTGATTAGTTTGAAAGTTCTCATAACTAAATAAATAATTTGCTGATACCTTCTCTGTCCCAGTTTACACATAAGGTATATATAAGTGACATTAAAATTTTGCAAGTTTTTGTCTTTCCCTTTTGTTTACAGTGAACAATAAGAAGGCGTTGGTTCATGATTAAGGAATCGTCTGCCCTTTGAGGTTATACAAGGTCTAACTTTACTCCGATAACTTTCATAGTTTGTCGTGTTCTGAAAACCGGACCGGACCGGATTGGGAACCAGTAGCCTCTCCAGTCCGGTTCAGATTGTAGGGGGGTTTTACGACATTTCAAATATATAGGGACTACTTTGTAATTTTTAGGGGTGTTTTGTATGATTTCAAAACTCTACGGACTAATTCGAATATTTAGGAGTGTTTTTGCAATATTACAAAAATTTAGGTAATAATTTAATTTGATAGGGATGTGTTTGTTGTTGAGGTCACTGATCCAACCAACCGGTTTGACCGGTATATGGATGTGTTGTTGGCATCACCAATCTAATCGACCAGTCAACTTGGGAACGGGGCCCTTGATCAGGTCAAGGGCTAGTTCGGTTTTCGTAACATACTTTGTTGTATTGATTCCTATTAAATGTGAAGCCTTAGGTGACACCATTTTAACTTAAGCCGAGAAACCCCAATACGACACCATTGTGACTTAAACCGACACTTCATCCTGATTGTTGGTTTGAGAACAGATCTGACGGCTGAAGACTTAAGTTCAGTCAAACCTATAAAAGCCAATGACCCTTCAGTTTCGAAGTAACACGTTTTTCCTCTTTGTTTGATATCTCTCTAAGTTAGAAGAAAATTAGGGTTCAAGATTAGGGTTTGCTGTGTGGGTGTAAATCTGCAGGTAATCTGTCCATTAAGTTGTGTTTCTTAGTGGGGTGGGAACCTAGTGTAGAGTTCTTATTTCAGATTGTAGGTTTACTGTTGTTATTCTAAATCCTGTTTGATCTTGGTTGAAATCTTGTAAAGGGAGAGAGTCTGAGGGTTGTAACCATTCTTGATCGTAATAGTAAGTGTAGCGAGCATCCATATTCTGGAGCTCAACGTGGACGTAGCTTGTTCAATATTGAACAAGTGAACCATGGTAAATACTATGTGTTGAATCTGTTTGGTTTGATTTGATTGTGTGTTTGTTGGTTGATGTTTGCTTGATTTGAGTAGAGTGTATTTACAATAGTGGTATCAGAGCCTTGTTTAGGTCTAAGGTGTATCTAGGTTTAGGAATCGTTTAACTTTTGACGAATTCGAAAATTAGGGTTTGTTAGATTTTGGGGGTTTTTTCAATTTAAAGGTTACTAGATCATTAGGACTTCAAATCTTGCTGAATCGTGGGATTAATTCGTGAGATTAGGTCACAAACACAAGGGATCGATGAATTTTGGGCAAAATCAAAATTAGGGTTTTGTTAGAATTTGGGGGTTTTCTTTCAAATTAGGGTTTCGAATCTTACTGAATCTGTTTAAGAGTATTTCAGCTGGAACACCAGTGACCGCCTTACAAAATTCCTGGCAGTAGTTGGCAACCTCTGGTATAACAACGCCACATACTTCTTAGACCGTTTTTTCTTTTGCCTTGTCATTATAGTATAATGAGCACTACTCGTATGAAGATCTCCCAATACGATGGGAAGATCGATTTTAATACATGGAAAAAGAAAATGAAGGCCTTGTTATCTCACAACAAGGTCGGGATCGCACTTGAAAAGGATGAGTCCAAATGGCCAGAAGAAAAGAAAAAGAAAAAGAAAAAGGCAGAAGTGGACGAAGAAGCATACAATTTGATCATTATGAACCTGTCAGACACCATGCTGCGAAAGGTGAATGGTGTGGAATCTCCAATTCCATTCTGGGGTAAACTCGAGTCTCTGTATGCTCTTAAATCTGCCCCTAATTTAGCTTTCTTGAAAGGTGCTTTATTTTCTTATAAAATGGACATAGCTAAATCCCTAAATGACAATCTTGATGAATTCTTAAAAATGACCCTAACCCTAAAAGAAATTGACCAAGAACTAGGAGATTCTAGCCTTGCTATGAT